CCCTGGCCCTGGCCGCTTCCCTGGCCCTGGCCCTGACCCTGGCCCTGGCCGCTTCCCTGGCCCTGGCCCTAACCGCTTCCCTGGCCCTGGCCGCTTCCCTGGCCCTGGCCCTAACCGCTTCCCTGGCCCTGGCCGCTTCCCTGGCCCTGGCCCTGACCCTGGCCCTGACCCTGGCCGCTTCCCTGGCCACGTGGTTTACTGCATGCAAAGCCACCGGTGGTTGGGCAACATTTCTGTGTGGCAGGACACTGGCCATCATGGAAACAGCTTTTAGCACAAGGTGGAATCATCTCTGGTATGGGACATTGACCTGGCTTCACTGCGTGGACACAGACAGTCAGCTTTAGTTTGTGCATATAGACAGTATGCCACTTCAATATACAGCACAAAACATTCAAAGCATGAATAGCAAGTTTAAACTACAAAATTAACTATATTCTAAGTATTGTTCCTCTTTATTTTGTAAAGTTATCCTGTGCTTAAAACTACCCTAAGGGATGAATTCAGAAACTACTTCTGACGAGAACAACCAAAGGCAAAGTCTCTGCTTAAGTCTAACATTGAATTCAATGTGTTACTCACGTATGTGGGGTTTTTTTTGGGCGCGGAAAAGTATTAACTGAAACTCACTGAAAACAGGCAGCACGCAAACAAGTGCAGTGTCAAACCAACAGCATTTGTGTCCTCCAGGGCAGTCTTTATCAGAAGAACATCCTTGACGGAACGGCATGACCGTCAGCCTCGCCGGACAGAAACCGTCCACTAGAGGTTTCAAGAGGATCATTAGAGAAGACCAGGGAGTGCAGTTTCAGCATTTGAAAATCAGGGGTTTCGCAATGCATCTCAAACCTAAATACAAATTTTACATATGTCTGCTTCAAATCAAAAGTGTATTAACCTACTACTCATTCCTAAACAGTGTTACTTTCAAAGACCGAGAGTCACTGATTTCTGCATTTCTTCAGGCTGTGAAATGAAGTCAACAGATCTTCTCACCTGTGGTTCGTCTCTGAATCGCATGAGTTATGCTCAAGTATCCGAACAGACACGATAAAACAGCAATCAACGAGAAATTCAATCGAGCTGTCATCCTCCCGACCTGCGATCTCACAACGATCTCTGCTGGAAAAGGCGCTGAATTGGTGCGTCAGGAGAAAAGGACAGCAAAACGCACAAAACTAAAACGAATATGTGTTGCTGCAATATCAACTTCTGTAAAATGGGGTTTTAAAGATCAAAGGAGATCAGGTCAATTCCAAGCCTGATCAAACTCACCTGCATGTAGCTTTCTAGTAATCTGGAATGCCTTGATTAGCTTGTTCAGGTGTGTTTGATTGGGGTTGGATGAGCTGAATGCTGCGTTCACGCCATGTCATAATAATTAAGGTAGCCTAATTACGAGAGGATTGTGCATTTCTATGGCGACACTATCAACTGCAAAATGAATCTGCAGTGGTCAAGTGTTACAGCGATCATGTTGTGGTACCAATAGGTGTGTTCGACTTCATGTAGCACTGCGCAGACCGAATCGGTGCGTGCCAGTGTTCTGACGATTTGTGATACCCGCTCAGATTGTGCTACCTTCCATTAAAAAGATAGGTAGCACAAATCAGTAGTGAAAAATGCTACCTATCAGATTGTGCTACCAGCATCTTATTCATGTGGTTTGAGGCTTTTTTTAATGTCCATACCTACCCCTAAACCTACCCGTCCGCACCTACACTTACCCTAAACTTACCCTTAAAACAATGCAAATATATTTTTGATAACGCAATCCGATAGGTAGCATGTTTTGTCAGTACACCGGTTCTTCTAATTCTTCTTCTTTTTTTTTTATTAACCAGAACAAAATATACAACAGTAATGTACAAGAGTGTGCAAACCATTTATTCAGTAATCAACAACTGTATATTCGTGGAAAAAAAATACAAGTCTTGTTTTCTTTTTTATTAACAATGTTCGCCAAACTGGTGCAGTAGTCCTTAAGTCTCCTGAAGAAAATGGATGAAATTTGGCTTGGACCCTGACCTTCTTCTTATGTATGTGAAATTTTCCATATCCACCCCAAAAAAAAATAATCCTTGTGTAGACACAATTTCAAAATAGATGGGTAATATGAACTCCTTTTCCACTGAGCAAACAAATCACAGGAAAAATCAATATCCATATTAAATCTCTCTAACACACTTTTAGCT